CCCCCCGCCGCCGCCGCGCACCGCCGCGCCCGGCGCTGCTCCTGCTCCTCGCTGATGGACGAGGAGTGCGTCTACTTCTGCCACCTCGATATCATCTGGATCAACACCCCCGAGTGAGTGGAGCGGAGGGGTTTCGGCAGTTCCCCGGAGCCGGGTTCCCCTTTGGTTAGGAAGAAAGGGAGGGGAGGTGTGAAGGTGAAAATTAAGAACCACAACCCCCCTGCAGAGATGGGAAGGGGAAGAAGGAACAGTTGTTTGCACAGTTTCTCCTACTCCTTTACCTTCCTGCTCCTGCTTTTCTGACACATTTAGCAGCAAGACTGTTCACCAGAAGAAAGCAAGCAGGATTTGGCCACCTAGATCGGGCAGATAGCTCCTAATAGCCCTAACACACCTGCCTTCCTAAAATCTGGGCAGCAGTATTTCCCTTTGGGTGCTGCTCAGCAAAGGCTGCGGGATACTTTTCACTATGAATCAGAAGCAGACAAAATGCCAAAGGCATGATTTTGCCAGCCTGAATTTGAGCGGTTTTCTTTCTGACAACTTAAGGAGGTTGGAAGGAATACTTTGACACCGGGTGGCTCTAGCTGCCTTTTGCTGCTCTCTGCTCCAAATTAATGCGTGGCACGTGTTAGTAGGATTACACACAGTATCCATTTCTACACCCTTCTCACCAAAAAGTAGTGAGACAGAGGATCACCTAAGGCTGCAAACACTGATTCTGGTGATTTCTTCTGCCGCTGGGTTTTCTCTGAGAGAGGATCAGTTCTTCACTTTTACTGCTTCTTTCAGTGTTGGCAGTAGCCAAAGTTCAAAGAGATGAGGTTTTATTGCTTTCTATTGCACAGGGAGGCACAGCAGCCTTGTGAAATCACAATTAAAAGGTCATTATCCTTGTCAGTAGCCAAGCTAATGAGTATGTTGTAGGATCATCAGAAGCATTTGCATAGAAGCTGTGACTAATGTGGCATTCCCAATCCCACAACCTTTACTCGTGTAATCAATGCCATTGATAAGATTGCCCAAAATACCCCATAGTGTTTTGAAGCCACATAATTATTTGAATGACTTTCATGTTGTCTCTTTGATCATAGGAAGACTGTTCCATATGGTCTCGGAGGCCCTTCTCGACCCAGAAGATCACTGAAGGACATGGTACCAGAGATGCTTGCTGAACCAAGCAGCAGATGCCGATGTGCCAACCAGAAGGACAAGAAATGTCTGAACTTCTGCCAGGCAGGCAAAGATTTCTGGTGCGTCTCTTGTTGCTACTCTTTAAAAGGCAATGCATGTGAAAGGGATGGATTGTGGTGCACTTACTCATTTTGGCACTTGCTGAGCGAATACTCTCCCCAAAGCCTTGCCTCCTACATGTGTGCTCACACTGCTATGATACATACTATGGCTTGGCCCAGAAAGATTGCTTATTACATGCCTTGAGAAGTGGTTGATGAGATGCCTCACCTTGTAGACTGCAGACTTGGCTTTTTTTTTTTTTTAACAGCAGCACCTTTTCCCTTTAAACAGGGCTCAGTCCACAGAGGAGAAAACCTCACGGCACCGCATCAAAGCCGGCAATTGCATTGGACCCAAATGCATGAACCGACAGCTTGTTGACAGCAGGAAAATGAAGCGGTGAGTTTCTTCTCATCCTGTTGTAGTTCCCCGGATCAGCAATAGAGAGCACAGTTCACCTGCCTTCGGGTCATCCTGGGCTTAGCTGGTGGTTTCAGCTTGAGAGTTATGGAGGAATCAGTGAGGATATTTTGCGGGCTTTTCTTCATGCTCTGGGTTTTTAGCTTGTGAGGACACGCGTGCTGAGCTCAGCCCACTGTCTGTCCTCCGCTCGCATTCAGTGCTCAGCCACATTCCCAAGGAAAAGTAGGGAATACACAGGTTTGCCTCTACTGAAGACCCTTTAGTGCTACTTTCACAAGCAGAACAGGACTTTACGGGAGCAGGCAGCCTGATGATGTTGAATGAGACTTAGGCCCTGGAAGTCTTAAATAATTTTTTCAAAATGGGGCTTGCTTGCTTACTTGAAAAAATGCACTCATTCATTGGAAGTAGGATTAGGCTTACCTGAAAGAAACAACACAGATGAAACAAAAAAAACCACTGGAGACCTCCTGACTGGCTACTTAAGGAAGTCTAAGGCGTCTTTATTTGAGTGACTACTTTAATTTAATGTTTGCATTGAAATTATGAATTATGAAACATTTCAAGTATCTTAAGTTACCTTGATTCTGAGAGAGGCATAGCAAACAGCAGTTTATTAGGGTCCTATAGTAGAAATCTAGAATGAGGTTTATTTAAGCAAAAACTAGGTTTTTTTCACACTGGATACGCATCTTCATTATCACAATGCTAAATGTACATTTCTTGTTTTCGCAGGCTGGAAGCCATTGGTAACAGTATCAAAGCTTCCTTCAGTGTCGCAAAGCTGAAGGCTGAGCTCCAGAAAGGGCGAAAGCTCAAACATAACAGGGCAAACAAAAGGCAAAGCGTCCGGGAAAGCCTGAAAGCATCCTAGTGGGAAGACCACCTGAATCTTTCTCCACACTGCTTGCTGACAAAGCATCACAAAAACTCTGTCTTGACTCCAACATTCCATGATGGCGAAGGGCCTCTCTGTCCGAGTGTTTGCACAGCGGAGCAAAATGCTAAGGAAGTCCTGTATTTGGAGATATAAAGACAAAGGATTTTATCATTTTGGAATTCAGGTGGATGGGTAGAAGGGCTGAAGGGAAATCTGCAGTAACATACATGAAAAGCCATCTGTCTGAAGAAACATTTAAATACTGCTCCTGGAATGTTACCCATCGATTGAGCAGCTTTCGGGGTCTACATCAAAAGCATCTTGCAAGGAAGACCTCACAGATGTGCTTAGCAAGGACAGAAAGCAAGATCTGAGTGTACAAACTTCAAAGAACTCTACCTTTTGATTAAAATGCAAAAATGAAAGCCACAGTGCTACTTTAATCAGGACTTATTGCATATATACATGTCTACCTCGCATACTGTTTGTTGCACTCCTACTAGAGTATTTTTACACCTTGTTATTGCCTTTACTAATCAGCTGCAACCCTTTGCCTTTTTTCAGAAGTCTAGTTTACTTGTACAACCAGAGTTATCTGAATGTGGGTTAGGCACTCTGATAGTTTGCATAGTCAAAGTCCTTTGGCTTTGGATACCAAAGGACCCTTCAACATAAAATAAAAGTTAGAGGACACTACTAAGTTTCCCCATAACAAGGATATTTGGACAACTGAAGTTCTAATAATAGAGGTTGTTGTGTCTTACATGCTACCAAAAATGCATTGAAGTGGGGATGTACCAGAGGCTGCTGCAAGATTTATTCAGGGCTTTGTTTGGTGGAAATGCATTGAGACAAAGGGTTGTTTTGAATTAAGTCAAAAGGCTAATATTGGGTGAATGTTTATAGCAGTGAATTTGTTCACATTGTTGAATTTGCAGACAAGTTGAATCTTACGTGCTTATTTTTGTGTCTTGTATTTATATTCACACAAGTTCTTCATTATATTTACCATGTTGAATACACATTGAAGTAGGCCATATTGGTCTATGCATGTTTTATGTATTTCTGTATGAAATTGGGAAATGCTTTATGCCTATCAAGGTAAATATCTTCAGAAATAAATATTTTTAATTACTGTATTGGCTTGTTTTTCCTTAGTCTGTGGCTCTGTGATCATGGAGGTAGATTTCCCCATGTACAAATCTGACCCATGTGAAGTGTGAGCACACGATTGTCTTTCTGTCAGGTAAGCCAGATCACGGCAATCAGAGTTTGTGCCGGATGTGAGGCAGCGGATGACGCTTGTTCTAGCTGCAAGGCTGCTCATCAATTCTTCATGGCAAACTCTAAATTGGGCAAATGTATTTATCCTGGAGCAGTCTTCTCACGTGTCTGATGTAGATGTACTATAGCATTTAAATATGGGTGTTAAGCATTTGTGTATAGATGAACACACTGGAATACTTGTGGGCTGTATTGAACTAGGTAATGTTACTTATAACCAGGCTCTACAAAAGATTTCAGCCCATTCCGTGCAAGGTAAAGATGAAGACCTCAATGGAGCCTCAATGGGGCCCAAGCCCAGGAAAGATCTAGATCAATAGGTAATTTTTTTACATTTCCAAAATATTGGCTTTAAATGGTTATACATAGATGCTTAAAACAAATAAATTGATTTAATCATCTCTGATCCTATAAAGGGAAAAAAATCCCCACAAGAGTTAATCCAAGGATAAAACTGAGTGGTTTGTTTTTGTTTTTTTTAAAGCTGAACTTAGCAAAGAAATAAAATTCAAGGAGTGTGATCCAAACACTGAAGTAGTGACCACTAAAAATTTCTGAAATTGTTCTGGATTTCTCGTAAATATTCATAATATTGACAGTGAGGTCCATATCATATTTCCTTCACACTGCTCTGCTGTGTTTTGGAGCAGTAATTCAGTGGGGAAATGACACTGCTGGTCTGACAGGAGTGCCTGGTCCAGGCAGTCAGAGCCTCTGTGCCTCTGCAGGGCAGGATGCAGCCCCCAGAGCCATCCTTTGATCTCTGCATCATCACCAGCACTGACTGCTTGGGATGCGCCTGGATCAGTGACCTCTGTCAGGCATAAAGAGACCTCACTAATGCTCCCTGGTTTTCCATTTCTTGCCCTAGCAGTGGTTGCCTTTGACAGGGAAAATAAACAAACAAGTGGTTGAGATGCTGCCTCTCACTCAAAAAAAGTGACAGGCAAGCAGGTGGTGTGGGATGTCCCTGATAGTGAAGGGGCTGTGCATCAGCATCCCCACCCCAGTTGCTCCTGTTTTCTCTCCCAAGAAAGAGTGTGAGGAGAGGATCAATTCTGCAAGTGGAGGTGCATTGCAGCAGTGTCTGTGCTGTTATTAAGGCTGGTTATTTGGATTTTGTAGGTGGCTGGCCTAAATGATGCTGTGGGTGGGCTTTAGTAGCCCAAATTCCTGGCTATCTGCTTAAGAGATTCTTGAGAGACCATCCTAAAAATAAACCTGTTCCTTCTAAGGTTTACTCTGTTCATGCCTGGAGTCAAAAGCTGGCTTCCATTCTCCTTTACTTGCCAGTAAACTGCATCTGCTGTTTGCTCACACTGCAGCTTTGTGTAGTGATGGGCACTCACTGGCCCTTTGGAGGGCCTTGGGTTCTGTGTGGTGCCCCGGGTCACGCAAAGAGCCTGAGCCTCAATGCAAAGAGCATGAGGGGAGTAAGATGCCCTGATGGGAGGGGCTTGTAGGCTTTGGGAAGAGTGGCAGGAGCTGTTTCACGCTGCCCAGCTGGCTTCAGGGGCCCGCTGGCATGTAGCAAGGGTGGAAGGGGATGCACTGCTGCTTCTGCATGCTGCTCTCCCCCTTCCCCCTTTTGCCTTGTGGTGTTGGAGCATAAACTGCAGCTTACCCTGGTTTGCATTAATGAGCTAGACTGAAAAAGCAGAGTTCAGCAGTCTGTTTGTCTCATTGAATAAGCAAAAGGGAACATGAAGCATTTTATCTTAACTGGCTCACATACAAGTACCAGGGTCTGTCCCAGAGGTTTGCTCCTTCTCAAAGCTCTGTGGGAGAGAGAGATTCAGTAACTTAGGCTAGAGCCCCTGATGAGAAAAGAGAGGCATAATATGTACTGGGATTTATGGCACCAAACACAGAGCAGTGTAAAAGTACATTCTTAGTTATTATAAACGACCTGAGTGAAAAAATATTCTACCTGAAGCCAAAGGAAACATTGTGCTGACTGCAGAGGCAAGGCTTCAGAGTCAAAGCTCTTGGTCTTCTAACTAGAGCTAATCTCACTGCTCTGAAAAAGGGAACCTTTCATGACCATGGTCTATCTCCTTTTTAAGTGAGAGGTTCTTCTAATTCAGGATGAAATTTGAGAAGCATAGAGGGAAGTATATAGGGAAGCGGGACATCACTTTCTAGTGTGGCCCAAAATACACCTGACATATGACTGAAATTCCATCTCACACCAAGAGCAAGGAAAATCTCTGTTCCTGAGCTGTTGTCAAAGTGTATCTCCCTCCTCTGATTTTTCCTGGGTTCAGTATGGCCATTTCTGGAACTGGAAAAAGTTTCACAGGAAAAGACAACTATTCTCCAAAATTAGGCTTGCTGTGCTTATTTTTATTCAATGCTGACTGTAATTCTTTCTTTCTCAACTGGTTTATTTTCATTTTCTCTGGATAAAGGCTGTTTTGACTATAGATCAAACAAGGTATACAATAAAACAAAGCTTTGACGTGTGAGTCAGGCTTCAAGTCAGGAAAATACTACAATGCTACTGAAATTCTTTCCATCTTATCTACATAATTCTGACCTAATTTTTCCAGAAATGGCAACCCTAATCTGTATCACATTATCATGAACTGCCCCCAAATAATTCCTGCAGGATGTCCTAATGTTGCCTATAGAAGTTACCAAATACCAGCCTCTTTGTTCATGTTTCCTTACATTAGGCTAAATTTAGCCACCACAACACATTTCTGTATTTACAAACACAGAATGAGCTGGATAAACCACTGTTTGAATGCTATCTGGTGTTTACTCTTTTCACACTCAACTGTTTGCCTCTGTGTATATAAAACCGTATCAATTTTTACTTGGCCTGCATCAAGGCACTATTATTAGGCTCCTTGGGTAGAAATCCAGCTTCTATCCCCAGCCAATATCTTTATTTAATGTACTGTTCTTCCTTCGTGACCTAGGAAACAAAAGGACCGACTTTTTGATTAATTAGAGGAGAATGCTTGGAAGCTGTGGTGCTAAGTGTAAGTATGCAGAGAGACAGAAAGCTGCAGATAAAGTACAAAGATAGTGGCCAGATCGTTTTTCCTGAGGTAAACATCGTGCGAACGACATTTCAGAACCATAGGCAGAATGAGTGTTCATGTCTTTCTTTATTTTATATCTCTGATCAAATCTGAGCAAGGTGAAAGATGGTAGGGAAGCCTATTTTGCTCAATATGGTTAAACAATCAGTTGGTATGTCTTGGTGCCTGGGACAAGCTCCTCTGCTCTGATCAGGTCAAGGAGACCTGAATTCTGCCTGAAGTCCACTGGGCTGGCCAGCCAGCCAACAATTCCCTCAACTTTAGAGGCATAATTTCTGCCAGTGCAAATGACCCAGAAAGGCTTCCTTTTTTCTGGTATTGCCATGCAGGGTACAGACAGACACAGGTCTGCTGATATTAGCACAGGTCTTTAGTGGCTCTTCATTTCCTTGGTCTGCATTTGGAGGAGTTTTGTTATTGTTTGGTTGTGGTTTTTTTCCTCCCTGCAAGCATTTGATACTAATAAATTAGATAAATATCACTTCGGTAAAAGATAGGGCAGTTTGCCTCTGGCTCAAAAAAGCTGCATTCAGAAAGGGATGAGCCCCATGGAGTTTGTGGTTTCATTGACCTCTCCAGCTATTTTGGGGGCTACAGAAATTATTTGAGTTCATCAACTGTAGTTCAAGCCCACACTGTTGTTGTTGTTGTGTTTTTCCCTCCAAGGAAATAAAGTAAAAAAAACAAACTTAAAACAAACTTTTTTCCTAGCTAAAGGAAAAATGTATGTTTGTGCCAGTCACCAGAAACAAATCCAACTTCTAATCTGGCAAGAAGAAATCAGTGCTGTATTTTGGTCATATAGGTTTGATTTACATTTTTTCTCTGCTTTCTCCATCTCTTTTCACAAACACAATCCAACCAAGGACTTGATGAAGTGTCCATCATGAAAAAAAGAAAAAAAGGAGTGCTCTAAGGACTTTTTGTGCAAAGGTAGCCATGTGTATTGAACATTTTGATGGGCAAGAGCTTCTCCTCATCTTCTTATCCTCCTTTCAATCCTATTGTTGAAAGAGATTGTTTGCCTTTTGTTTCTTATTTTAATTTTCTCTTATTTCTTACAGGAGTATAAAGCAATAATATTCACAAACTAGATAAGAAACTAAAGGGGACAGAAGAGCTGGACAAAAAGTGCATGCTTTATTCTTATCAGAAATGTGCAGGCTTTTAAGTTGCATATTTGCCTGTGTGAGGATTTCCCTTGAGTAGCATAACAGAACGAGAACCATGACATTATAAGCTAGAGAGGTGTCTTGAGAGTGCCCTGTGGGTTTTTTCTCTTATGATTGTACCTCTCATGTCACCTCAAAGGAGATTCTCTTTCCTTGCACATGGGCTGCCCAGCACATCCATCAGGCAGTTGACTTAATTACGCAGCAAGGCAAATAGGAATGAAAGAACCCATGCTGCTGAGAAGAGGGGTCATTGTTGGGTTGATCAGAGCCAGCCATGCTCAATGCTGCTGCCAGCCTGCCTTTTGGGGTACAGGAGACAGGGTGGCTGCAATCCACACCAGCAGCCCTGATCAGTCCTCTGGAAATGTAAACCTCCTGTCCCCCATGGATGCAGGGTCACCATGGGGGCTGCTTTCCATGCCAGCTGCTCTTTCCATAGGTACCATCTCAAAATGACCCCATAGGCCTTATCAGTACCTTACAGCATATTTTTCTGAGAAAGCATCTCAGCTGGGAGTTCTCTCCAGTCATTCCAGCTTCCCTACGGATGGACTAAATTGGCATTATTCAGGAGAGTTTGGAGGAACACCACTGATTTCACCAGCTGAAAGGTTTTATTGGATCAGT